CCCCTGTTTTTTAAGTAAATATCTCTTTACTTGTAATGTCGTATTTCACTGTTAGCTGTTCTTCCCAGTATGGAGTTAAAATATTAAATAATGAGTGTTCCCGTGCTAATATGATCCCACATAAATGACACCACTGTTCACCTCAGAACTCAGGCCAAAAACTTTAGCATCGCATTTGAATCCTAAGATTTGTTTCATCTGACATCCAAATCAGAAGCAAATAATAATATGTTAGTCAGCTGTTTGTCACTGTGGTGTACCAGAGAAAATCACCTTAAAGAGAGAGAGAGAGATTTGTTTTGACCCATGGTTTCTGGGGCCTCAGTAACATGCCTCCCACCCCATTTCTGTGCTGTGAGGAGGCAGAGCATCATGCCGGAGAGGACGCGGCAGAGGAACCCTGCTCACCTGTGGCAGCCAGGAGGCAGAGAGACCTCCTTCTACCTGGGCCTGACTCCTGATCACCCAGTCAGCTGTTAGTTATGGATGAATCCATTAATGAGGTTAGCCCTGCATCATCCAGTTACCTCTCTCTGTAGGTCTTCCTGAGGTGCCAGCTCTGCACTTTCTGGCATTGGGGATCAAGCCTTCAATCCATGAATTTTTGGAGTATACTTTGTATGTGAATCATAAGAGCTATCATTTTTACCTTCAAAATAGTTGCCACTATTCACCGCGTACAACCGTCCTGGCCCTGTGTGGTGCAGTAGAACTTTCCGGAAGATGGAAATGTTTCATGCCTGCGCTGTGGCTTCTGAATGTTTGAGATATGATTAGTGTGACTGAGGAACAGAAACTTTTTATAAGAGCTTTTTTGAAATAATTTATAAAACTTTATCATTCACCCATTTAAAGTACAGTTGTACTTTAATTCTTTGGTTGTATAACCATCATCGTAATTAATTTTAAAGCATTTTCGTCACCTCTATAATCCGTCACTTCTCATTTCCCCTGAACATCGCCAGCCCCTGAACTACCACTGATGTGCATTCTGTCTATAAATTTGTCTCTTATGGATATTTTATACGAAGAGTTACATGATGTGTGCCTTTTACATCTGGCTTCTTGCACTTCGCATAAGGTTTCCAGGCATCTTCCAAGTTATAGTATGGATGTATCAGTGCTTCATTCTTTGTGTTATTTAATTGCATTACTGTTGTGGTATAGAGCACTCACCAGCGGATGGACATTTATTTGCTCTTCCCCTGTTGTTGGACGTGGGATTATGAATAGGCTGTTGTGCACAATGAATGATGCTATTCAAAATGTTGGGCTCAGTGAGCATGAGTAATCATGAACAATGCTCCTGTGAACACTTAAGTACACGTTTGTGTGTGTTTTGTTCGAAATTTCATTTTTCTTGGGTGTGTACCTAGATCTGGAATAGCTGAGCCACAGAATAAATACACATAATCTTTTGAGGAAATACTTGATAATTTCCCAAAGTATCTGTGTGTCTACAAATTTGTAATTTCCTATCATCAGTAGATGGAAGTTTCAGGTTTTCCACATCTTCATCAACTCTTGGTGTTTTATTTGTCTTTTTTACTACAGGCATCCCGATGGATATTCACTGATATTTTATTGCAGTTTTGAGTTTGCATTTCCTAGGTGCCTAAGTGATGTTTAGCTTCTCTTCATGCACTAGTTATATGTACATCTTCTTTGCAAAAATGTTTATTCAGATACTTTCCCCATTTTTAATTTGATTGCTTTTGTCTTTGGTCTTGAGTCGCTTGGTTTTAAGAGTTCTGTGTCTGGATATAAGTTCTTTATCAGATGTATAATTTGTGAATACTTTGTCCATCTTTCAGGTTTCTTTAGTTACTTGAAGATGTCATTTGAAATGCAAAAGTTTCTCATTTTGATGAAGTCTGCTATGTGTCCTGTTGTCTTTAGTCACTGTGCCTTTAGTACTGTGTCTTAGAAATCATGCCTGAAAGGTTTATTACTGTTTTATCCTAAAAGTCATATAGCTCTGGTTCTATGATCCAACTTTGTTAATTTTCTTTTTTTCTTTGGTACAGGAGATCGAACTCGCCACCTTGCGCTTGCCAGGCAGGCACTTATGCCGCTGAGCTAAATCCCCGGCCCTTAGTTTTCAACCTTGCTATTCTGACTGTTTTACGTTTGCCATTCAGAGGCTTTAGTTCCATGAGCGTGCCGTACAGCACTACCACTTAAGTTTTTGATTACCTCAAACTGAAACTACTCTTTAAGCAACTGCTCCTCATCCTCCCTCTTCTCCCCAGCCCCTGGCAGAAATGGATTATTCGCTATATTTTATTTTAATTTATTTAAATATAGACAAGTACAATGGCACCTCGGTTCACAAACCGAGAACAGTTTAGTTTATGAACAGAAGTTGGTAAAATTTGTTTTTGTTTTCAAACTCTGCAGCAGGTGACAAATGTCACCACAGCCATCTTTCTCACATGAACATGAGCATGACTGTTTTTTCCAGAATTGAGGAACAAATTAAATTTGTGAACTGAGGTATTACTATTAATTCAGCTCATGGCAGCCACACCAGACTACGTAACTCCAAGGCCAACATTCACAGCCCCATCCACTGATGGCTCCAGCAGGTCTGGGCTGCCATTGCACTGATGATTATTCCATTCGTGGTCAGCCACAGTCTGTTTGCCCATAGAAGCTGCACACTGTTCCTGTAGGAGTAGAATTGTACCCTCGCATCCCCAGCCTAGAATCCCGCTGTGGTTACCAGCTATAGTCAGCACAGCTGTTGGTTTCCTCCTCCCCTCTGAGTAGTCTTCTTGTCTTCTTGGTGTCTGCCCCTCGTGATGTTCTCCGAGTGCATGGAGTTCTGTCTGCCTCCGGGCACTGTACAGCTTCCTGTGTCTCTGCCTGGAACATTCTCGCTCTTGATGGTTGTTTAACTCAGTCCTTTACTCCATTCACATTTACGTAGCTGTCATCTCGCTGTCTACAACAGCAGCCCCTGTCACTCCGTGTTCTGTTATTCTACCTTATTTCTTCATAACACTCACTACACCTGATTCTGTGTTGTATATCAATTTGTTTATGTGTTCATACCCCATTTCCCCCTTTAGTATGCAAAGTTTCATGAAGACAGGAACCTTCTCTATCCTCAGACTCTATAATAATGCTTGCTTGTAGTTGACTTTAAGGAAATATTTTTGAGTACATAAAAATATAGCATTATTCCTTTCAAAGCTTTAATCTGTTAAAGAGTCAAAGAAATGGTCCTATCTCACCTCAAATGTTTGTTTCTTGAAAATGTCTTAAAAAATACTGCTCTTATTATTAAAACAATCTGAGGACCAGTTACTAAAAAGCAAATCTCGACAGATTTGAATAACTATTTACTAATACAAGTTGAATATCCTTTATCCAAAGTACTGATGCCAGAGTGTTTCAGAGTTCAGATTTTTTTGGATTTAGGAGACATTGCTAGTTGAACATCTCGAATCCAAAATTGAAATGTTCCATTAAGTATTTACAACATTCTAGAGTTTGGATTAATAGTGTTCAGCCTGTGCATGAGTTTAGTTTAGTGTTTCTCTTCTTAAATTTTTCCTCCTTCCTGTTTTGCTGTAATCCTACCTAAACTTCCCGTACCACCGCACTACTTCTCCCCTAAGCTTTGAGATCATGCCTTTTGATCTGTGGCCCTACCTCTGCTTTTCTCTAGTGTAACTCTTAGAGAACACAATAGAAATTTCTCAGTGTAGGGCCACCCTGTTTACTCCTTATTTAGTCACAGATTTGCAGCATAGAAAGCAGGAGCCCCAGTGCTGGAGCCAGGGGCCTACAATTAACAGATCCTACCTGCAAGCCCACCTACATTGTTTTAGGGAAATTAACAGCTCGTGAATGTTTAATAAGGTTAGGATGCATCGACAAGTAAATGAGCATAGTAAGCCCAGATATGTGCGACTGGCAGCTTCTGGGCTACAAAGTCAATACAAAAATCTCTGTACAGTCATACCTTGGTACTCTATTGCTTTGATCCTTGAACTCGGTTTTGCCAGAAAAATTTTGCCCTGGCGCTTGTCCTTTGCTTAGTACTTGTTGTTTCTTAGTACCTGACAGCCAAGCTGGAACTCGTTGGTGTCAGTTGCCTCATGAGTCTCCTTCCTTGCCAGCCAGCACAGTTTGCCTGGTATTCATCTCTTTGGTACTTGTCACACCTCCCGAATCAATAATCACAAGTACCAAGGCATCAATTTTATACCAGTCTGTGGGTTACCCAAAGGGTTTGAATATAAAGGTGATGAAAAGAAGGTTGGCAGTGTCACCCAAGGAAACCATTTCTGATCTTCAAACAGGGTCTCACCTCTCAGGTTGAGAGCCAGGCTTCTCAGAATGGATCTAGCTGAGTGAATCAGACATCCCTAGTTGAGTTTGGCTTTAGTGGGTGTTGTTTACCTTCTTCTTAGCAAAGTAAGAAAAAGCATGAGAACTGAAGCTTCAGCATCTCTCTCTGTACTCCCTGGACTCTCCCTATGGCTAGACTGAAGAAGTTCATGTACCTGAAAATGAAAATAGGAATGGTGAATATCCCTCAGAATACACTCTCACTCATTATAAATCGACTTTGACTCCATGTCATTATGTTTTTTTATTGATGTGCATTTCCAATTTAGTAAAAGTTAAAGATGAGTATTTGAAAACTTTCATTGCTGGCACTTAAAGTAGTTTGGTAGGTTTTCATTTCTGTCCTTTTTAAAAGCCAGACAGAGGTTATAATCTTTATAAAATCTACATTTCAATGTAGATCAATAATTAGGTCGTGATCTTGGAAACATTATTTTGATTGTTTGCTTCACTGGAAGAGAATATAAAGCCAGAACGTGCAGAGTTACAAAGAATGAGTCTTTAGGATTACACAAGGTGGAATTTTGAAATGCTTGCTGTCTTCATAGATGTTTCTAAGGTTCCAGTTTTATATTCTGAAAAGAATAGATTGCCATCTCAGCTCCTTGGAAGCTAATAGTGACCTCTCTGTTTTTCAGATACTCCCTTGTCCAGTGGTCATGCCACAGACTATTTATTTGTTGGAAATATTGTTTACACGGTAAGTTTATCTGTGTGTATCAAGCCATTCTTAAATGGTGGCTGTGAGAGTTTGCAAGGCTCTTTGCACTGTAATTATTTAAAATCTTGTATGTTGTGCATTCCTTAAAGTTCAGAATGTCTGGGAAATGCTCACATCGTTGTTTAGCAGAGATTATGCAGAGTCCAGGCTTCTAGACAGCTGGTTGGCAGACTTCCTCATTCTTTTTTTCTTCTATTGAGACCAGGGATCGAACTTACAACCAGGCACTTGCAAGGCAGGCGCTTGTACTGCTAAGCTAAATCCCCAGTCCGATTTCCTCATTCTTAAAATGATCACTTCCACCTCCTTGTAAAGGTAAAGAGTACTTGGGAAAGTGACTTCTCCCAAATTGGCCAAGAAAAGGCAAAACCAGTATGAAGTTATTCACTGGAATGAGGGCTTGTCTTAAGATAAACCTACTTGTTTATTCCCTAAAAATAATCCTAAGGAAGTTAGCTACAGAGATGACACTCTTTCTGTATTTGTTTGCTTTTTTATTTTTTATTTTTATTTTTTGGTACTGGGGATTGAACTCGCGACTGCATACTTGCAAGGCAGGCGCTTATGCCGCTGAGCTAAATCGCCAGCCCTGTTTGCTTTTTCAGTTGATATTTCCAAAGCATTGCATTTACAGTCAGCAAGGGTCATTGATGTATGTACATATCAAGCCTTGATCATTTTTACTTCTCTCTGAAGGCAGAGTAGCCCTGAAGGAGCCAGCGTGGGAGGGAAACCCAGGGCTTCTGCACAGTAAAACTAATGCACTAAAGATGACATATGTTTTCCAAACTCTTCTTTCTTTTCATAGTACGTCGTGGTTACAGTTTGTCTGAAAGCTGGTTTGGAGACTACAGCTTGGACTAAAGTGAGTTTTCTTTGGAGCTGTTTCCCTTTCATATATATATGATTTCTTTTTTAAGCCTTAGCAAAGCAATAAAAAATATCTCACTCTTTTATTTTAAAGCTTGTATATAATAACTGTGGTTTGATCTTTATTAGAGCAAATTTATAATCTAGCATTTCATGGTGTCTCACTTGCCTGGCATCTAACACAACTCAAGGCTAACTGAGAGTCTCGGCATTTCAAGTGTATGTGCTCATTGTTGGAGCACGCACCCACACACATACACACTTCTGCAGGAAAGACAGAAGCCCAAAAAAGAAAATTCACATTTCCATATTATTTGCTACTAACACACACATTTAAGACTTTGCTGTATGTTCTGTGTGAACATTTTTAAATGTTCTGTGTGAACATTTTTAAAGTTGATCCATTATAGAATAGTTGTGTAATCTTTTTTTCCCTAAAAATGTATTAAACTGTACTTCTACAAAAAAAGAAATTGTTTAGGATTGAAGAATATGAAATTTCATAGCTATCCCACATGTATTTTATCTGTCCGTTTTCAGCATTTTGATCGTTTTCAGCCTTGGGGGTGAAGGGCGTCCATTTGTCTGTCACAGAGTGTTCAGTCCTGATTGTTTTTCCTACAGACTTAGCTCATGCTGTACTAAGGGGGTGCATGGGTGTGGGAAGTCAGCGGGACTCTGTTAGGGTCAGTGGCAGTTATTCCAGTGAACGGTGATGGTGACTGTCATAGTCAGGGGTTGTGAGGAGAACAGTTAGAATTAGGACACGGAATTTATATTATTTTATGATGTTAACATAAGAAAGTGCGGGAAATCTGTCCCTAACACTAAAGACATAGAATATTCAGCCAAGGGCCTGGCTCCCACAGCAATGTCCTGCATGAGTCCAGATGAAGACCTAGAGCCTCTGACAGTGCCTCCCACAAGTCCAGCTGGAGGTCTAGAGCCCACAAGAAGGACTTACGCCAGTCTCTTTTACGGATCCGTGCTGGGAAGGCCCAAAGCTCAGTGGTGGAAGCTAAAAAGTCTATGCCAGCGGGGTGAAGGAGCTGTGTTGGTAGTTTGAGGGTTCTACACTGGAGTCAAGAAGTCATGCTCAAAACAAAGACCAGAGCTATCTTGATAAGCACCACAGCCATCCTCAGCGACATGGAGGTCCTGAGCTCCTCTGACAATACAAACAGTCAAGTACATGCCAGAAAGCCAGAATGACAAGTTCCTCCTGGAGATTAAACAGCACATGTCTTCCCCTCCAGAGCCAGGAAGCGATGCTCCATGTAAGGACCGGAGCTCCCCCAAAGTGAACCACAGCCACTCTCACCCTCAAGGTCCTGAGCTCCTCTGATGACAATGGTCGAACTCACACTGAGGAAGCTAGTCATGACGCGCTCCTCCAGGAGAACCAACGGCTCAAAACAGCAACACTTAGAGAAACCCACAAGGCCTAGCTCTCCTTCTCCACGTCTCTATTTATGCTGGCCACTTTCCTCAGGTGGAACATTTACACTCAGCACCATGCTGATCTAATTTAGCTGGCGTTAAGTTAACCATCGGTTTTTATTCCGTAACAGTGACTTAGCCTGGAATGCTGAAGGAGAAGCTAGGCAGTCATAGATAAATTCTGGGAGTATTTTTTTAAAGCAGATATTTTTTAAAAAACAGAACTTGCCCATTCATTGGATTGTGAGGAACTGATAGAAGATCTCAAGGATCATCATTCTAAGAACACAAAGCAGAAACAATGTAACAGCGCAGTAGATCCTTAGGAAGGCATGACAATGTGATGCCCAAATTGATGTCATACAAGCAGAGAGTAGAACAATGGTGGTCAGCCCCGAGCAGGGGAAGGAGAAGGCCAGTGCAGGGCTGGTGAATGTGTAGGGTGCCGCTGGATAGAAGGAACGATTCCTGTTCTACAGCAAGTACGGTAACTCCGGTTAGCAGCAAGTAGTTATGTATTCAAAGATGACCATAAGAAATGTTTCAAATGTGCCCAACACGCAGAAACAACATGTTGGTGGTAATGGACATGACCATTACGCTGATCTGACCATTACACAAGGTACCATGTACCCAGATATCACGCTGTATCCCATTAGCATGTACAACAATAATGTCCATTTTTAAATACATTAAATAAAATTTAAAGGCTTCAAAAAGGCAATATCCATTCCAGTTTTTCAAAAAAATGATTTGCTAACTGGACAGAAGGACGGATGTCACTGAGAGATAAGTAGCAGCCTCTCCCTGCTTGTCCGCTCTTCCACCTGCTCAGAGGCCTGTGTGCTGTCGCCTTGCACATCCCCAAGGTGGAGTAAACTGGACCCGCTGGACCAAGGACTTGGATGCTGGAGGAAGGTCAGCAGCGACACAGAAGGACTTTCACCTTCCATTAGTCTGGGGCCACTGGTTGCACAAATGCATTGCCAAAACGTAGACACAAGAGAATTAGGAAGACAGAACCCTCCCATGAGTAGGGCCCGAAATCCTTCCCTCGGGAAATCTTCCCGTAGCGTGGACACAGGGTCTCGTACCTGTGGGCTTTGGGGGATCTCGCCACTGACCAAGCATCTGTTTCCTCCACAGTTCAGCCACCTGGCCGTGTGGGGAAGCATGCTGATCTGGCTTGTGTTTTTTGGTGTCTACTCAACCATCTGGCCCACCATCCCCATCGCTCCAGACATGAAAGGCCAGGTCAGTACTGCAGCTTGTGAACGCGTCTGTGTGTCTGCGTGTGTGAGTGCATGCCCTTTCTAAGCTGATGGTGAACTCCAGGAAAGCCTGCATTACCTGCTGCCATCAAAACGTGTCAGGAAGTCAGCCACTCACAGTAGCTGGAAGTGGTTGTCCAGTCCACAAAAACGGCATTCAAAATCTAAATATTGTGAAAATTTTCACCCTTGTTTCTCTGGCTCCCCCAGCATGCCTGCTTCCCATGGTAAGTTAGGTGTCGCCTGTGTGTGGTCATGGCTGTGGTCAAGGTTGTGGTTCCTGGAAAACCAGGGCCATTTTGATTCATTCATAATCCAGTGATTATGCGAATTTCAGGTTCCATGTTAACTGCCTGATTGATAATTTGTCACCTGAGAAAGATAAACAACTCTTAGGCAGACTGTGTATGAACCAGAATCTCACATTGTTCATTCTTTGGACTACAGAGGCTGAGATTATTGACTTTTATGCTCACTTGAATATTTTCTACACTGTCTTTTATAATGTCTATGTCCAGTGTCTGAAACTGAACCACCAGTAATGACAAAAACAGATCATGGAATCCTCCACATTGGGTGTAGAGAAAAAGGAGCTCAGCCTCTCTGGGGCCCAGGACTCCTCAATTCACAGAAAAAGCTAAAAGCTGTGCAGTTCCAAGACCCACAGGCCTACCCCAGGGACCTCATCCTGGGATGGCCACAGCCTTAGGCCCCGACAAGGAGCTGCCCCAAACCTGGAGCTTTGAGGGCTTGCACTGTAGCAGGCCCCCCTGACTGTGTGTGCTCACATTCGAGTGTGCACAGCCAGCCCCCGTTTCAGGTCACTTCTCTGGGCTCCCAGGACTCTGCATTTCCTTCCCAAAGCACCAAAAGCCCACCAGACAGGACTGGCAGGGCCTCACCCAGGTGCAGGCCAGTGTACACACTTCTGTGGCTCAGTTTCATTGCTGGCAAGACGTGTACACAGAGCAGAGTGGGTGTTTGCACTAGTCCATCCACCCGTGCTTGCGGGAACGTGCTCTCGTTGCTGGAGGATGGATGTAGGAATAAAGGAGCTGTGGGTCAGAGCTTTTCATTGCTTTCCTGCCCACAGTGTACCCAGTTTAGAGGCAGGCTATCCACAGCATACCTGGCTCCTGGCTCTGGCTCGCTCTGTAGAAATAAACACAAATGCCTGGGGTTCCCCAGTCTGGATTCACACTCTGTCCTGGTTTTCTTGAGAATCAGTCTGCTAATACCCACGGTATCCAGGCCATCCACGAGTGTGGGAGATAACCAGGCTGGCCCTGTCCTGCAGTTGTGGGTTTGTGTCTTCTCAGATACATCTTTGCTTTCTATAAGGAGAAAGGACAAATACAGCATGCTTTTAATTCCTTTTCCAATCTAGGCGGGCAGAGGCAATTGCAGGGAATTGATTAAGTGAGCCCACAAGATTACTGTGTTGCAGGATGAGCATTTCCCAACAAAGATACTTCATGAGTTTAAAAAAAAACAATTCTATTGCAAAGAAATGCGATTCGTTTCCACAAACCAAATTATAGAGAGCATTCAGCACTCATCGTATGGTAAGGCATGGAAGCTTAGAATATCTGCTTGGTGTGGTGGTCTAAGGAGGAGCGGTTCTGCTCCGACTTTATTTGGAGAATTTTACAGAACAAAGAATAGGACTTCAGCTAGGCGTGGTGGTGCACACCTGTAATCCCAGCACACGGGAAGCTGAGGCAGGAGGATCACTGTGAGTTTGAGGCCTGTCCGGGGTACTAAGGGAGTTCAAGACCAGCCTGGACTACATAGTGAGACTCTGTCTCAAAACAAACAAAACTAAACTAAGAATAGGGCTTCAGCCAATGCTACAGACAGATTTCTAAATTAGAGGAGAGTACAGTTGACATGCTACAATCTGTCGGTGTGTGACTGGCAGGGAGAGCCACTCCGTTAAAGCCCTCTGTGTCCTCAGCAGTGCCACTTAGTGAGCCCCTGCATGTGCATTTGCTTCAGTAACTCTGACTCTCCTGTGCACAGCTAGGCTGGCTGCTGGCTTTCAGTCCCATCCAATCACAAACGTATCAGGCAGTCACAAATGTGCCCACCTTCTCCCTGGGCCAGTCATAGAAGCTCCCAGGTCTGCGTGGTTCCGAGGCTCAGCTTAATGGGGACCATGCAGTTATGCATAATGACGTTCAGACAGTAGACAGTAGCACTTAGAGGCTGTCGCATAAGATTCTGTGGCCTGGTGATGTGACAACTGTTTTAGTTTGTGTAAGCGCCCTCGGTGATGAGTGAGCCTCACTCTGCGTTACTTGGGAAGTACCCTGCCATAAGTGATGTGTATAACCATCATAATGGATTTTAGGACCAATAGCAATTGAGTGAGCCCCTTGTCCCATCCAAGAACAAAACAATGGTCAAGTTAAAGTACCTTTCACTTTCATATGAAAGTTGACTGGTTTCAATAGGAGGCAAATGACTTTGTTTTGAAATAACATGTAGCCAGTTAAAACTAAGGTTGTCATTTGGCATGGGGTGAGAGGATTACTGTAGACTTTATCATTTGAAGATCCAGTTGTCATCTCTAGTCCACCTGTACAGCGGTGCCCTGCGTTGTGGGGAAGGATGCGGAAAACAGTGTATGTCTACGGTCTCTGTAGCCAGGGTTAGCACTCCTGCCCATTCTGTCTCTCTCTCTCTCTCTCTCTCTCTCTCTCTCTCTCTCTCTCTCTCTGTGTCTCTCTCTCTGTCTCTCTCTCTGTCTCTCTGTCTCTCTCTCTCTCTCTCTCTCTCTCATATCAGTAACGGGGATCGAACTCATGACCACATGCTTGCAAGGCAGGTGTTTATGCCGCTGAGCTAAATCCCCAGCCCTGCCACTCTCTTTTGATTCAATAATTTGTTGATTCTTTGAAAAATGGCAGGAAAGTATTAAATACCTTTTAACATTTTAGAAGAATCACTTGGGTAAGGCCAACCTGACATACAGAAAGGCTTTCTGCTAACCCAGGAGGAATTACATGCTGTCCAAATGGAGATAGCAACCGGGCTCAGGGGTAGTCAGTAAAAGAAACTGATTCCTGTAGGGGAGACTATGGAGAATATGCCAGTGGGCATAGTGACTCTCACTTGTGATCCTAGCACTCTGAGGCAGGAGGATTTTAAGTTTCAGCCCTACCTGGGCAATTTAGAGACTTAGCAAGATCCTGTCTCAAAAAAAGACTTAAAAAAGAGAGGGAACAGCTGGAATGCAGTTCACACTGAAGTCCCTGCATTCAATCTACAGTATCTTTCTTTTAAAAGTCGTATCTCTTCCCTGAGCTCTGGGTTGGGTGGTGGTTAGGAATGAGGAATATTCTGGAGTAAACTGCTTCTTAAAAATAACTATGCCAAGAATGCTTCTAGTGGTTTTTATTCCAGTTTTTTGGGTTTTTTGTAATTGACTGTGCAAAAGGGTTTTGGCAAATGAACACAGTTCTTTGAAGTTCCAGAATTAAGCCACTGTCTGATTGCAAACAGTGTTCTCACCCAAGAGCCAAAAACGGATTTGACACAAATTTTGTTCTGTCTTTTCCCTAAATCTTCAACTGTTGAAAAGATGCATTGTTTCCCCTGGGGTTTCCTGAGCCAGTGTGCCTAAATATTTCTTTGTCTAGTCCATTATATTTGTAGTTTTTCTCGTGGGGGAAAATGCAGGTTTTCCCTCCAGGGCAAGTGAGGGGAATTAAAGAGTCGTTGTCCACTATCAAGACTTTATTTTCCCTAGGGCACCTCATGGTGTGATATGTGAATCCCTAACCAGAAAAACAACTAGGAAGTCCTCATCAAAGTTTTCAAAATTTAAAAAGTCATGTGCATACTTCCTCCCCTGAAAACATGTGACATTCATGGGGTTTTAAGGAACACTTTGTTTTTCCATTTTTCTAGGCCCACAGACCTAGAGTGAGCTAAAAATTCAGCTTATGTCCTGAGCCCTTCAGCTATGGAGAAGAGGTGATAATGTTTTTCCATAGGGTCCGTGTGTGTTTCTTCACCCAGTAGCTCAACCACGCACCATATAAAACATCTTCTTAGTGGCACAGATGCTTAAAAGTGGAAAATAACAAGGTTCTTTTGGCTCACAGCTTCTCCATGGCCGTCTGTTGACACAGAGCTTTAAATTACAGAGCTGAGGAAAACAAGATTGAAAACTGGATCAGGGAATGTGCTTGCGTTTATTTAAAACACGCTTTCCAGAGCTTTTGACTTGAGTGCCATCGTCCTCTGCTTCTCTTCCCAAGTCAGACCTGGGCTCAAGAAACTGCTAGAGCCCCATGGCTTTGGGCAAATTGCTTAACCTGCAGTAATTTCCCTACCTAAAACCATACTAAGATTCTCCACCCTAATTACCTCAGAGGATTGAAGTGAACATCTAAGTGAAAAAATAATGAAGTAAGCCAGAAGAAATTATAAACATCCATGCCCTTCTTTTTCCTGGGAAGGCAAATGGTTTTTTGGACCTTTACACAGAAATGTTGCTATGATCTCAAGTCTCAGTTGGTTTGGCCGAAGAATTTCAACATTGTTAAGGTTCTAGATGGGATGTTTCTGAGAAAGATCCAATGGTCCATAGACAACTTGTATTGATAAAGGAGAATGAAACTCCCAACCTACTACATGTCCCAGTATGAGTTTGTGTTCTCTAAAATCAAAGAATAAATTTTAGGAACAGTGGAGATTAAGAGCAGAATGTATTTTTTGAAAGAAAGAAAGCTTCTGTCTGGGAGAGAGACAGAAAGGGTCTCAAGTGGGTTGCCAAAGATTCTCTTTTCTAGGGATTTTTATAGAGCAAAACCATGAGGTGAGATGGGTCCAAGATGGGGAAAAATGGGAACTCACAGGTAGACAGGCATGAGGTGAGTCAGAACTATGGTCAACCAATAAGATTTATTGTTCAAATAAAATTGACCAAATTAGGGACAAATGGGGAAGTGAGCCACATAACAAGGGGGTATT